GCTTGCTTGCTTCCTTCCTTCCTTCCCCCCCTTCCTTCCTTCCTTCCTTCCTTCCTTCCTTCCTTCCTTCCTTCCTTCCTTCCTTCCTTCGGGCTTTTCTTCCTGCACTATCCCGGCATGAATTTACAGTACTGAAACAATGCATACGAGTGTTGCATTTTCACCTCGTTACTCCCGTGCATCGCCCAGCATGCCGCATGCTACAAGCATAAATGGTAAATAGTCTTCCAAAAGGGTCTTCTACCTGGTGGAGAAAGAGTGGTTCCGTATCAGCTCTATGACCTTCCCGGTGTTGCTCACGGCGCCGTCTGTCAGCAGGAAAAGAAGCCGTGGGTGGCCTCGGTGGATGGGCTGCCGGATGATCCATTTCAAAGGCGACAGGACATTGGTCCCTCCCATGTCAGCCCGGATTTTCTTGATGCTCTCGCACGCAATGGCCAGATTTTCCTGCAGGGGGAGACAAAGCACAGGGCGCCACGATGGTCCCATTCATAGCACCCAGCAGCAAAGAGCACATGGGGCCAAACAAAATTCCTAACTGTTAGAGCAGTGTGACAACGGAACCGATGACCTCCTGGGGAGGTGGTGAAGCGCTCCAACGCTGGAGGCCTCCAAGAGAAAACTGGACCGCCATCTTGTCAGATCCACTTAGATTTGTGTTGCAGCCTTGGGCAGGGGGTTGGACTTGATGACCTTAAAGGGCCCTTTCCACTCCATGATGCTACGGAGATTGTGTTACACACACAAACACGCACATGCTCATCACAGCTCCATTGGGCGCCAGGTTGATTCTTGGTCTTATTCAAAGTGTTGGCCATGACCTTTAAAGCCTTGTACAGCTTCAGTCCAGGTGATCTGAGAAATCACACCTGCCCGTATGAGCCTCTGGATGTATTAAGATCCTCAGGGGAGCCCTTCCTCTCGGCCAACTCCCCCCCCCTTTTTTTTTCTCTCGCCAACAGCTGAAACCGTACCTCTTTAGAGAAGCTTTGGGTGAGCCCGGAGGCCTCTGCGACGGGGAAATGCATGGTTTTAAAATAATATTCCAAATTCTGCATCGGCGGTCGTTTTAAATCTTAGTTGACTTGTTTTAATTAATTCTTGGTTTTAAATGTTTGCCATGCCACCGTGGAGAGGCTTCTGAAATTACCCCATAAACCTACACACGTAGGACGGTATTCCTTTTGCAGTTTTTCTGCTCAGGTACGGCTCCAGGGCAGGGCTCAGAGCTGGCCAGAATGCCCCTCGTCTCATCTCACACAATTCTGAGTGAAATAGAAGAAGAATCTGCTGTGCACACACGCACGCATGCACACACACACACACTTTTATTCAACCCAATGAAATTCTCATTCATTGTTCAGCTTCACCGTATCTGGGAATTTTGTGGCACAAATCTCCACCTTAAAAAAAACTTCGTAGAACCATTCAGGTTAAAATGTACCTGAAAGGCATTTTTGGGGGAAATGCATACACACACCACATATATTTTAGGGCAAAATCCGTAACGCCTGATAGGATCCTCTCTCTATGTGGTTTTAACCTGACGGAGAAGCAGGACGATGGTTTTTTCAGAAACACCTTTCCCTCACCTCACTGTAGGTCTGGCTGGAAGGGAACAGAGCCTTAAAAGTGGATCCAAACCCTACGATGTTGAAGAGACACGTTGGCAGAAGGCTCTTGAGGGCGACCAAGAGGGCGTCCTAAGGAAAGAGGAAAGGGCCAACGGATCAGGACAAAGCAAAAAGAACAAACACCATGTTAATTGTAAATCGATTTGAAATGCATCGGCGGAGAAATCGATATAAATCAGCACTGTAACCGTGCCCTCAGATCCTTTGTCTGGGCACATTTCACAAAACGGTGTTCACCCCCTCAAACCTGGACACTTTAGAGAAAGAGGAAAGAGGATTAATGGGTGTTTATCAGCGCCCACGCAGCCACCAGCTAACCATTCCTTCTGGCCAAATCAAAGTGACAATCCCATTCATTCTCACTAGACTCGAAGCGTTGTTTTCTCCCTCCCGTTCTCTTCCAGGAAATAAGAATAAATGAATGGACGCATGATGAGGATTTCAGAAATCAAACACACCCACGGGGACTTATTGTCACAGATTCATCGGCTCACGATGCTCTCCTTTCCACCTTATACCAAGTGGAATTGTGCTCCTATTAGATTTGATTCCCCTAGGATGATGTTCTTGCAGAGAATGGCCATGGACAGGAGAAAGAGAGAATGATGGTTTTTTTTTTTAATCAAAAGCTTTTTCCCGCCCACCCAGGACCCAGCTTGTTTCAATGAAAATCAGAACCCCTTGAAGGGTTTCAAACTCTCTCTAGCGACTTTCGAATGCATTTGAAATGTGCCTTTTGAGCTAACAACGCAACACATTTTTCCTTCTCCTTATCAAAACAGAGCATCTCAAAATACAATGACTATCAGCCACCATGACATTTTTTATTTTTATTTTTTGCTCCTGCACAAAAGAGAAATGAGATGGGTTTTTTTTTATTATTGGCAGCATCAACAAAAGGAAAAAAGAAACAAACCAAAACCCTTTCTTATTTTGTGCAAAAGAAAAACACCAAACGAAACCTTCCACGTTGTGTGTTTCTCGTGCAAAAGCCATCCATGCATGGAGGTTGTGCAGGTTTCTATAAAATGGAATGGAAAAGGTGAAGATGATTGGCTTGTTAAGAATCTTAGAACTGCAGAGCCGGGAGGGAGACCTTTGGGATCATCTAGTCCAGCCCCTGCCAAGGAGGCCTAGTCAGGAATAGAACTCCCAACCTCTGTCTCCGCAGCCAGAGATCTAAACCACCGAGCTATTGTGCGCCTGTGTATGTCTGCATACTGCACACTCATGCGAACCTGCGAAGCATCACAGATGAAACAGACCATTCGGGGCAGAAAATGGAGGGTGCTATGACCAACATGTTCTGCGGAAATTTCATAAAACCAACTTGGGGAGGCCCCAAATTCTCCCTGAGAGGTTTGGGGTTCTTTCAGGATCCGTCTCCCTGCCCCGACACGGCGGAGATTTCTTCAGACCTTCGCTGAAAAGAGGGACCTCGAGCAGCCGCTGCAGGAAATTAAAAGACCCAAAGTCTTCCTTTCCAAAGACATGTACATATTTAATCTAGGACGCCGTTTTTCATTTTCTTTGTTACACACACAAGCATGCAGAGGGATGGAATTATCCAGGGTATTCATCAGAACAAATCAATATCTTTTCCAGGCAGTACAAAAGAGAGAAGAGAAGACGGGCTCGGATCCCCAGGGGGAGGGGGGGTCCACAAAGCATAGATGGTTCGGTCCTTCCTCCTTCCGTGTCCCTTCTCCAAACCTTTGGAGACGGGTTCATACTGATGCAAATCAGCAAATCTCAAAGAGAACTGGGACATTTATGGTTTTGGATTATTTACCTTTTTACATATTTCCCTACAGTCTTGCCATATATTTTTAACATATTTCCCTACAGCCTTACCATATTTCCCTTACATATTTCCCTATAGCCATTGCCTAGCCTATCTCCCCTTTTCTTTCTTTCTTTCTTTCTTTCTTTCTTTCTTTCTTTCTTTCTTTCTTTGTTTCTTTCTTTCTTTCTTTCTTTCATAAATTCTTGTAGGTCATTAACACGAGTTTTGTTTATATTGTTATGCTTGAATTTGACTGAGACCGAGACCCACAGTTTGTACTAGTGACTCAGGGTCTTTACTACTCTCTTCCCTTCCCTTCCCTTCCCGTCCCTTCCCTTCCCGCATCTTGGACTCTGGGACTAATCTTGATTTTATTTTAGTTTATTTTTATGATATCCGTAAACAGCCCAGAGTAGACACGTTCTAGATGGGCGGTATATGAATCTAATAAATAAATAATAAAATAAATAATTTGCCCACAAAAAACAAAACAAAAAAAAACCCTAGAGGTGCCACAGGACAGTGTAGACAAAACTGTGACCCCTTCCGGAAATCTCTTTCTGTGATCTTCAGGTTCCAGAATTCCCAAGGCTAGAGGATTCTGGGAGCCGTAGTCCGGAAAAGGGGTAGATTTTCCAGGCTCCAAAGCTGTTGAAATTACTGCAATCTCGCATGCTGCCTGTAGTAGGTGTGGCTGGGGGAGGGGCCTTTGTGGGCTGGGGTGACTGTCAATCTATCCAGCCCTAATCAATAGCTTTCTCGTGCCTATAAGTTCAAAGGAAGCCCTACCTCTCTGCTAAGATCTTTCCCTCCTCTCTTTTGCCTGTTGGAGTCAGTCTGTCGGGGTCTGTTGCTGCAAAGCAGTTATGTTTGCCAGTTTTGCTGCTTGCCCTGTTCAACTGTAAGCAAATGAAACCTTTTTATTCTATCTCCAACGAATGTCTCTGAGTGAGTTATCGAGATTGTAAGTGGCCGTTGATAAGGTAAAGGGGTGGACTAATCTGGGGAACTTGAAGCTATTTCTGCTCTGTGAGTGTCCGCACTTCTGCTGTGCCATCAGAGGAATTTAAGCAAAATGCAAGACTCTGCAGCAGGTGCAACTCCACCAAAGCCGGCCGTCGTTCAAACAGTTCAGTGAAAGTCCCCTGGACTGCAAGGAGAACAAACCTATCCATTCTGAAGGAAATCAACCCTGAGTGCTCACTGGAAGGACAGATCCTGAAGCTGAGGCTCCAAGACTTTGGCCATCTCATGAGAAGAGAAGACTCCCTGGAAAAGACCCTGATGTTGGGAAAGTGTGAAGGCAAGAGGAGAAGGGGATGGCAGAGGAGGAGATGGTTGGACAGTGTCATCAAAGCAACCAACATGAATTTGATCCAACTCTGGGAGGCCATGGAAGACAGGAGGGCCTGGCGTGCTCTGGTCCCTGGGGTCACGAAGAGTCGGACACGACTTAACGACTAAACAACAACAAACAAAACAGCTTTTAGGGCAACTGGACTGCAAGGGGCTGAAACAAAGAGACCAAGAGCTGCAAAATGAGGAGAAAGGGAAGAACAGAGCATCTTTACTGTCCCCAGTGTGGATGGTGGAAAAGGGGAGAGAAAGCAGATGGTTCAAAGGTGAGTCTCTTGGGAGACCCGCTGCCAGTGTTGGGTCATAGCAGGAAAGGCGTTCATGTGTCGTCTGGAGAGAGAAAAAAGGACAAGAGTTTTGATCCTCCATTATTGTGAACCTAATATCTGGCTGGGAGCGGGCAGGGGGCTCATTATCCAGGACACTGGATTCCGTTTCTAGAAACAGTGATCCCTCAAGTGGCGAAAAAGGTACAATTGTGAAAGCACATTAAAAGCAGAAACACCTGTCTTTGGAATTCTCACTGCAGTGTAAACACTCCACTTTGGATGCCTGACTGCTGATACATACATAACAGAGGAGATGATGTAAGAAACTTTGTAAAGAGCTGGGACGATGCCATTTCCTTTTCAAAAAAATTCTGGTCCTTAAAACTCAACTCTCCTTGGCAAGTCTCTTGTTCAGGTAAGGATGAGCGGCCTGCAAAGAGTGGAGGGTTGCACACACCAAATATAGTTTAACATGATGCGCAACAGCCTTCCGAAGAGACGGGGTGACTTTCCTGCCCACCAGATTGCAGGAAGAATCGAGCACTTCCCTGACATTCGCCTTCGATTCGAGCAGAAGGGTTGTTGAGTAGAGAAACCGGAGCTGAAAGGACGCATTAAGTGGCTTTACACAACATTGTCGGAGAAGGAGGCTCTCGCCGCTCAGAAGAATAATGCAGCCGACACTCGGCAGAATGCAAAACACGCCAGAAGCCTCAACACTATGTTTGCAGATTAAGGATTAATGAACTGGAAGTGAGTCACTGATTATTAACTGAGGAAACCGCCGCAACACATCACAGAGGGGACCAGGAGAAGGCTGGCTAAAGGGCCCTGTGCTTGTTAATTCACGCTGTTTTGACACAATGAGACCTGTCGGTGAGGCATTTTGAAGACCCCCCAAAACCTCTCCCCCACCCCAGTTCTGGAGCTCTTCCTGTAACTTCCAGCTGCCCCGTTCCCTTTGAGAAGCAAGGCACCCACACGCCGACAGAAAAAGCAGAGAAGGCCTGGGTGATGGGTAAAAAAAGAAGCAAACAACCCATCGCCTGCTTTCACTTCAACAGAGCAGCAGTGGGCCGTCTGCATCGATGGATGGTTCGCCTCCCCAAAAAACGTTGGGCTTTTTTTTTTGCCAAAAACATTGCACTCATCCTTGCAAGAGTTCTGTATTTCACTGTACAGTATTTCTTTTTAAATTGCAAGCAAAGGAAAAACGTTTACGGTTCCTCGCTGTCGACTGGGAGGACAAGACAAGCAAACCCTTCGCTGAGTGGGGAGACAGGCCAAAAGGGAGCTTCGCCTCACTTGTCAACAGTTGAACCCGCACAGGGCCAGGAAACTTCAGCAAGTCCAAAAACGCGGCCGCAGGATAGCGAACCACGGTTGGTTCACAGAGATTACCCAACCGCCCTGATACGGCAGCTTCACCGGCTGCCGATCCGTTTCTGGGCACAATTCAAATTGCTGGTCATAACCCAGTCAACTTGGGTGTTAAAACCATCAGGAGAGGCCCATTCTCTCGGTCCCGCCACCCTCACAGGTGCCTATAGTGGGGACATGACAGAAGGGCCCTCTTGGTGGCTGCTCCTTTAGACTCTGGAACTCCCTGCCACTGGAGGCCAGGTTGGCCCCACCTCTCCTTTCTCTTCAGGCAGGCA